GTGTTAAGAAAGTCCAGTTTTGAGTGAGTATTCAGTTAGTAACATATGTATTTCTTTATTTTCTTTTTCTAGGCACAAATGATACTCAGCCCTACCATGTTGTATCCAACTCAAGTACTTCAAATGAAGCATGCCCCATCGGCTGCACGTGCGTTAGTTTTGCGTACGGAGCCTTCATACCCAAAAAGCCTGGCTCAGACACCGTACCCACAGGGGTATATCATCCCAAAATTTCCCAAGTACGACGGTGTTAAAGGGGATGCTGATGAGCACTTGCAAAGATTCGTGGAATCTCTAGGCCAACATAGCCATGATGAAATCCTACGCCTACGAGAATTCTCCAAGTCTCTTACCTGACTCGCGTACAGATGGTTTCGTAGTCTCGAGCCAGACTCGGTCACCACTTGGCAACAACACTCCCAAAAATTCCACGATAAGTTTGGTCAAGCTATCGAGAGGGTCACTACTCTTTCTCTCACCAAAGAAACGCAAGAATCTCATGAAGAGCCCCTTAAGTTCATTTATCATTTTCAGACCCGTGCGAGGGAATACTTTGAGGGTAGCAGTGAAAGGGATCTGGTTGATATTTGCATACAAGGCATGACTAAGACCTCCAGGATACACTTGGTCAATCTAGGTCTCAACAGCTTCAGCGATCTCACCACAGCTGTATAAAACATTTGTAAAGATCTCGCACCTCCCAAGGCAGAGGTCGCTGGACAGGTCACTCGCAAGGACATGCCGGTTGCTCTTCACAATGACAGGGCAAAAAAGCATCGCGAGACAGATGTTAGGGCCAAGGGATCTCGAGCAAAGCGAACAAATGATCTTCCCCCATTCTCGGTATGTATGGAAGAAGTTGTCAGTACTCTCGAACAGTGGGTCAGGCACGATGTAGTCGTGCTACCTGTCCCTCACAAAAAGCTGACTACGCAAGATCATGCGAGTCCAAATTTCTGTATCTTCCACCAAGCCACTACACATCCAACAAGTGCATGCAGGACGAGAACCACGGACAACTTTCGTTTCCTCGCAATTGGACCCATCGTTGCGAGATGGCCTTATTTGCCTCTTGAAGGAATTCTCAGACGTCTTCGCATGGATCTATAGCGAAATGCCAGGACTTGACCCCCAGCTCGTGACACATCATCTCAGTACCATCCTGTAATACCCCTAATTTAAAAGGATAATCCTGGAATTTTAATTTAATTATTTACTGTATTTTTCTTAATTTAATTGTTTTATTTGGCTTGTTTGTTTTGTTTTTTTATTTATTTGCATTATTTGTGGATTATTTTATTTAAATTTTGTATTTAATTAAATGGTTTTATTTTTATGTTATTTGGTTAATTTAGTCTCATGTTTATGTAATTACATTTTATTTTATTTTAATGGACTAGATTAATTACGTTGGTTGATTTACATTAGGGTTTTGCTTAAATTCATCGTGTCTGGATTTGAGCCGACTTGTAGTTGGTTTAGGGTTTAATTTAGGGTTTCAAATAAAGCCTATAAATATATAAGTATACGTCTGCCAAGGGTTTTGTAAACCCCATTCACCATATTCACGTACCTAAGATACAGAGAAAATACAGAGAGCAACCGAGTGTGTTTTATGAGACAAAATACTGAAAGAACCTTAAGAGATCAAGAGAGGGATTCAAGGAGGAGTTCTGGACTGAACTAGGAGCAGCAGAGGTCGTGTAACACAACCGACGTTGCCGGAGTTGATAGAAACGATAGTTAGAGATTTTAAACCAAAGTCTCGAAGGCAAGTCTCTGTTCTATTCTTTTCCTTTAATTCGTATTTTGTGCATGCCTAGTTAGACTCCAGGGACTTAATAAAGGCTGAAACAGATGTAATCAAACATAATAACATGTCTTTGATGCAAATATGAACTTTGTTTAATCTCGTGTACTAACTGTTTTGCATTACTTTTGATGTTCTGTTATTTGGTCCTATTGTGGTGTTTACGTTTTAAGTTTTGATTAAATTAAGATCATAAGTGTGTATATCAAAGGTTTAAGATTAATCTGGGACTAAAATTTAACCCTAAAACAAGTATTAAAAATAGTGGTTGAGTTCCCTGAATTAATCTGTTTTGAAATTGTTTAAAATTTCTAACTGAACATTCTGTTGTCGTTATTTCAAACGGTGTGTCAATTCATGTCGTGGTTGTGTACCATTGATTTAGGGTTAATCTAGAACATTAATGGAACCCTAAAACAAGTATTAAAATATTTACAGAGAGGCCTGGGTATCGCCGGATTCGAGGAAAAGGAAGTAGGAAAACGCAGAACACGCCGGAAAGGGAGAGAGCAGACTCTCAAAATGAGAGAGCCAGCTCCCTCACACAAAGAGCCGGCTCCATGCTACAAAGAGCAGGCTCCCTATGTTAGGGAGCCGGCTCTAACATAAAAGGAGCAGGCTCTAAATTTTTGGAGCCTGCTCTTTCCCAGAATTTGCATACTGTGTGATTTTTATGCGTTGTTTGGTCTGTACCGTGCATTAGGACTTCGTTTAAACTGTTTAAATGTTGTATGGAACTGTTTTAGACCTAAAACTAGTTTAGAGGAACATTAATCTATAATGGGATTAATTGAAGGAGCAATATAAAGGTTAAGAAAAACTTAGGCAATTGCACACTGTTGTATCCACTGGAACTTAGCAAGATTTATGGATGATTTAATTATGTAAAATCATGTTTCCACAGGGATATAAATATAGTGAATTAACTAAAATTATCTATGCTTAGCTTGGGTTTAATTGATACTCAAATTCTTATTAACTGTATCAATTTAGGGACTATATTGGAGGATTTGCTAGGTTTATGTACTGGAGCTTAGCAGGGTTGTTATATATGATTTAACTATAAATATAAATCATATTTCCATAGTATTGTAAGTATAGTGAATCAACTAAAATTACCTATGCTTAGCTTAGGTGAAATTGATACTTAAATTTCTATTCATTGTATCAATTTGTGAACTATGTTGGAGAATGTGAATACTTGAATTTATTGTAGCACTTTACATTATTGGAATTGGATTTTTGGCCCCGTAATGAATGCCTAATATTTTATGTATATGCATTTAGTTTATCTTGTGCATATTCTGGAGTATGGTTGATGACTATTTAATACTGTATTTGTCAACTGTGTTAATTGGAGGATTATATGTACTGGTATGGGACGGTAACATACTAAGCATAGACTAGTTAAAACACTAGGTTCTACCTACTTTGGATTAAGGTATGGATTAATCATAAAGGTTAAGTCCATCACCTACATGTGTCATATCAATTGTGAATTGAGTGACCTACTTTTGGTTTCAGGATGGATGCGTTATACATTATATCAAACCACTACAAAGTTGGATGATATTTTGTATTAGGAGGAGTACTGACTTTATATATATATTTTATGTGCCATGGTATGAGTCTGAATCTCAGGACCATGGTTAGGGCACGTATATCGCCTAGGATGGATAATTGGACATAAATGTTGTTCTCTAGTAGGTTAAGGTACTCATGCCCACCTTAGGGTGCGTATTTGCATGTTGCCTTCTATTCAGGCTCAGATAGACCTATTGGACTAGCGAGCGTCCTATAATGTGTACTATATATACATATATGGACTACTCTAAATATTGTTGAGTTTTCCTAGGATGTATCTGCGTATCGGATTACTGTATGGATCGTAGTGGAATAGGACTTGCATGTGGGCCTGACCTACTCTCTTATTTTTCAGGTGGTCGTCAGTTCCAGGGTTAGAGCTTGGACGTGCAGAGCAGATACAGATATTCATTCCTCCGACTACGTAGGAATCTTCTCTATATTAGCTTTAGACTTTATTTCAGTCATTTCAGTTTTGGATTGAGAATGTTAATAAGGGGTCCACTAGATGGATTCCTGAGTTGTAAACTTATGGAGTTTTGGATTACCGGATTTGATTAATTACGACACAAGGATTTTCTTTTAGTTTCTTTCAGCTTATTATATTATTTCGTTTTTCACTTTGTATTTTGTGTTCGATTTAACATATTGATCATTTGATATCCCTCGGGTTTGGGCCTGGGCCTGGGCCTGATCAACCCGTGTCTCGGATCCGAGGGGTATCACACATCCCAGGCTTGCGCCCTGTCAAACAAGCACCTCGCGTCTATAGACCTGAGCTCGAGCTTCAGATTAAGACAGAGGTCGAAAATTTACTCCTTGCAGGATACATTAGGCCAATCTTACATCTAACTTGGCTGGCAAATATTGTTCCTGTAAAGAAGAATAACGGACAAATTCGAATCTGCGTCGATTTTTGCGATCTCAACAAGGCATGCCCAAAAGATGATTTCCCTCTTCCTATCATTGACACGCTGGTTGATGCAACAGCCGGGCATTCACTTTTCTCTTTCATGGATGGGTGCAGTAGCTACAATCAGATACGGATGGCCGAAGGAGATGCCCACAAGACTGCGTTCCGGATACCACTTGGCAATTTCCACTACACTATCATACCTTTCGGGTTAAAGAATGCTGGAGCCACATATTAAAGAGCCATGATTGCCATCTTTCACGATATGCTGCATCACATGGTGGAAGATTATGTCGATGACTTGGTCGTGAAATCCAAACGGCAAGAGGATCATCTCTACGATTTGCATCGCATTTTTGAGCGATGCCGTATGTACAATCTACGTATGAATCCCCTTAAGTGCGCGTTTGGGGTACGTCGTGGCAATTTTTTGGGCTTCTCGGTGCATCGCTAGGGAATCGACCTCGACCCCACCAAAGCTCGTGCAATTACAGATATGCCCCGCCCTTGCTCCTTCAAATAGCTTAAAAGTTTTTCGGGCAAAGTTTCGTATTTGCATAGGTTCATACAAGCTCTCGCCGAAGTCTCTCATCCTTTTAGCATTTTGATCAAAGGCAATGCCAAATTCCTTTGGACAGCGGCTCATCAAGCAGCCTTTGAGAAGATCAAGACCATTCTTGCCTCCTCACCACCATGCACCCACCTGTTAGGGAGCAGCATTTGCTTCTCTATTTCACTTCAACTGATAAGTTTATTGGAGCCCTTCTTGCGCAAACAGTCGACGGGCAAGAACGACCAGTCTATTATCTCAGTCGCCTTGTACGCGAGGCTGAGGCTCCCTATTCAGCCATCGAGCGTCACTGCCTCGCCCTTTTTTTCGCTACACAGAAGTTTAGACATTACTTCATGGCTCATCACATCCATTTGATCACAAAGTGCGACCCGTATCGACACGTCCTCTCTAAGCCAATCATCTTAGGGAAGGCGTCGCGATGGCTTTTAGCTCTTTCAGAGTTTGACATTACCTGTTATGCACCGCAGGGTATTAAGAGCCAAGCTTTAGCATATTTGCTCGTGTAGTTCCCCGAACAGAGGCATAAGCCCCTCGACGAAGCATTGCCCCTTGATGAGCTCCAGGTGGCTGCCATTGCAAGCAGTCACGGCGAGTGGAAACTAGCTTTTGATGGGTCTTCCACTAGCACAGGTGGAGGGGCAGGCATGTTCTCACCTCGCCAACTCAGCAGGTCACTGCGGCTGTCAAGCTGGCCTTTCGTTGTTCTAACAATGAAGCTGAGTATGAAACACTCATTCTTAGCCTCCTCGCAGTCCTCGACAAAGGCATCTCACGCTTATGTGTATGCGGGGATTCCAAGTTGGTTGTTAAACAGGTAACGGATGAGTATGCTATAAGCGAGCCTTCGTTCACATCTTATCGTACCATTATTCAAAAGCTCCTCATGAGATTCTCCTCCGTTCATTTCTTACATGTACCTCGTTCCAATAACAAGTACCCAGATGCCCTCGCCACATTAGCTTCGAAGCTGACCATTACAGATGACATGACTGAGATCCGCATCACAAAACGCATTGGTCCAGTTACTATCGCTGAGCTTTTCCTGGCCCAAATTGTTTCGGACAATGATTGGCGAGCCCCAATCATTAGTCAGCTCAAACAGCGGACAGGGTCACTACCTCTCACACAATTGAAATCATTCCAGCTCTTACAAGGACTGCTCTACTTCCACCTGCCATGCGGAATGTTAGCCAGATGTTTGGGCCCTCGCGATGCTGAGGCAGCTCTCATACCAACTCACGAGCAGCATTGTGCTACACCTTTGATGTTGTACCGGCGACTCCAACGTTAGGGTTATTTTTGGTCAGATATGGCAGCTCAGGCTAATACCTTACAACGCACCTGCCCGCGATGTCAGGCTGTAATGGATGAGACCGAATCTTGTATTCTCGAGATAGTTGATTGGCGTCGCCCGTTCTTTGATTTCCTTGCACATGGTACCCTTCCAGATGATAAACAAGCTGCTGCAAAGCTCAAAAGGAAGTCCGCACGATTTGAGATTCGGGAAGGTGAACTCTTTCGTCGAACCCTCAATGGTACGTATCTGCGATGTTTATCTCGCAATGATGCCATGGAAGCTCTCAAGGAGGCTCACCAGTTAAAGCATCAAGACTTACGCAAGCTTTTCGCGTATTTGTTACAAAAGGGAATTTATTGGCCTATTATGGAGCGCGATGCCAAGTCTCATGTACAAAAATGTCGACCTTGTCAACATCATCATCACCAGATCCATACACCAGCTACACCCCTCCATCCTATCGAAGTCCCTTGGCCATTCCACACATGGGGGCTGGATCTTATCGGGCCAATCCATCCACCGGTGCGAGGTCACATGTGGATTTTTGTTGCAACAGAGTACTTCATTAAATGGATTGAGGCGATCCCCCTTAAGCATGCCATCGGTGGGGCCGTCGCGGCTTTCATATAAAAGAATATCATTTGCTGCTTCGGAATCCCTCACTGCCTTCTCACCGACAATGGTACTCCTTTCATTAATCATAAAGTCAAGCGATTACTCAGGCAGTACAATGTCCAGCATAAGCGTTCATCGCCATATTACCCACAGGGTAATGGCCAAGCAGAGGCTTCAAATAAGAATCTCATTCGAATCTTAAGTCGGACGCTCGAAGAAAAGCCTAGCACATGGGTAGAGCAATTGCCTCTAGCACTTTGGGCTAATCGCACTTCCGCCAAGAGCTCCACAGGTCAAACTCCGTTCTCTCTTGTCTATGGAACGGAAGCTGTTTTGCCCACTGATATTGCAGTCCTGGCGGCGCAACTCGCCTTACGCAGCGAGGTTCCTATGTCACAAGATATTGAGTTGGAAGCCCTCGATGAGCAGCGCGAGGTAACCCTGCAGCACCTCCAACAGTACCAGCGCAACATAGCGCGAGTATATAACAAGCATGTCTAACCTCGACAGTTCCAACCAGGCCAGCTCGTTCTTAAAGTTGCTCTACACATTATGCGCGGCCTCTCAGCTCTCAAGTTCTCACCTAATTGGGAGGGCCCCTATATTGTTAAGACATCTAGTGATAGTGGTTATTGCATACTCGAGGGCTTTGATCATAGCCCCATTAATAATGTCTCGCTCAAGCCTTACTTTTGTTAAACTTTGCTAGCCTGAATGAAAGTTACTGGTTTTATTCAGCTTGGTGCATGACTTGAGTTCTTAACAAAAAAAAAAAAAAAAAAAAAAAAAAAAAAAACACAAAGAGTGGAATAATCACAAATTTTTCTTTTCATTCAAGGTTGTTCGATTACAATTGTGAAGTCCTTGACTCATGTTTACATCAATAATCAAAAGAGCAACCTACAAGTCTAATCCCTATATGATGACAGCAGCGAGTAATCATCATCGAGCTCCCGTGAGTACACTGTCAATACTTCCAAGCTCTTTCGCTCTTGTGCAAGCTCCCCCTCCAATTTGCCAATATGAGCCCGTACTTCTTGAAGGCGTGGTGCAAGCAGTCGCTGCTGCAAACACTTCTCAGCCACAAATAATCGTCTTCGCAGCCATGAAATTGGATCTTCGAGCCTCTAAACATCATCCAATAGGAGTGTAGCCTCCTGGATGAGGTTTTCATTGGTCGCGCCCTGCTCAATTTCTACAAAAACCTCCAAAATTTTGCAAAGGCATAGGTACATTGAGTGCCGCACATATACAAGGCGCGATGATAGAAATTGCACAACCTCGGGATGATGTGCAAGGGCTGCCTCGAGGAGTTGTACATAGGCGCGAGGGAACGGCATACCCATCCACTCCACCTCCGCGCTAACAGCTTGTGGCCCTGTGCCACTCACAGCACGTTGCTCAGCCCCCAAGGTTGGCTCGCTAAGAGGGCGATGAGTCCTTTCTGCTATTGTTTGCTCAATAGTGGGAACTGTGGACAGCCTCGCTGGGGTAGCAGTGGCATTCACCACAGTAGTCTCCGCTTGTGGCACCGGGAGGATTGGTGAAGGTTACAACTCCGTCAAATGAGAGGTTTGAACCCTCTCCTCTTGCAACGCCTCTTCACTTACCAGAGAGGCCTATTCTATCTCCTGTGTCTCTAAATGTGAGGCTTAGGGGTCTCGCTCAAAGGCCTCGCCCCTTTCGGAAGAGATGTGCTCTCCCATCTGTTCATCTCTAGGTTGTGAGGGTTCTCGCATCTCCATGGGCAAGCTCGAAATTATATCTGTATTCGCGGGGCCACCTCTACATTTTTGCCCCTGGGTGACCCAGCTGCAGCGTAGCCTGAACGACTTGTTACCTCAGGGTTTAGGGATTCTGACCCATTCTCAGCCTTTACTTGGGCATCATCTCGAGACATATCCTCCCCCTCTTGGGGAAGTACTGTGTCCTCGGCAATATCAGCGCTCGCTTAAGGTGGCGTTGTAGCACTTACATACCCTGGCATCATTTCTGCCACCTCAGCGGCATACGTGTGCACAGGTACGTCTTGAATGGTGATAAGAGGCGAGACATCCAGCGCGAGCTCTTCCATTTCTTCCTCTCTGTTGACGTGTCCTCCTGACCATAACAATACAGGGCACTCTCACCTAAGGCTTTCATAAAATCAAAAGTAAGTAAATTTAAAAATTCACTGTCAGAAGCTAGTACCTCGCCTGAGCTTATATCATGGACAGTGGCATCAATTCCACCATCTCGCACCCAGTGAAGCCTGCGCGACACCCCTTGCCCTGGCCCAAAGGCTGCAGCCATCGAGCCATGCTCTCCAACGAGAGGCTGTTCGCCATCATCTTCAGAAGTAGTCGTATCCTCACTCTCAGTTGGTTCATCCACGAGTAGGATTCTGCTCGCTGAGGTCATGGGTCGAGATGTACTTGGTGCTGGAGGCCTTACCCTATCCTCCCTCACGTTAGCAATGGCTGGCTCTGCAGCACTTACAGCTGCGCGTTTGCTGGGGGGGGGGCAAGGTTTGTGCATGAAGTTGCCCTCGTTTTGCGCCTACGGACAGGCACTGGGGCTGCCTCAATGGCAGGATTAGTGGTTGCCGTGACGGGTTGAGAGGATTCCCCTTGTTGCGTTACAGTGGGTGCAGGGTCAAGCGCGAAGTTACAAAGGTCCCCCTTGTCAAATTCTATTGGAGGCCTCGGTGAATGATCCCCTGAATAGATCACCAATGCCTTTGCACGATGGGCAGGACTCTGACAAAAATCTTTCCAGCTTGCTAACTCTATTGCCTATAGCGAGCGAGCTGTCTCTGTACATCTCGGGACCCTGCCTCTTCCTGGCAGGAAGACACCGCCAATTCCTTCGTGGAGTAGTGTAATACCCCTAATTTTAAAAGGATAGTCTCAGTATTTATTTATTTGTTTTAATTGTATTTTTAATTATTTAATTGATTATTTAACTAATTGCTTATATGTTTAATTGAATTATGTATTACTTGATTATTTGATTATGTGTCTATGTATTATTTATATTTGTCTATGTGTTAATTGTTTAATTAGCTTATGTACTTAAATGGTATTTTGATTAATTGTAAATTAAATATTTTCTTTTCTTTTATTATTTTATTTTATTTTTCTTTTATAGTTATGGTTAGTAGTAATGGGCCAACCAATTGGGTCCCATGGACTACTTGGATAAGAGGGTGGATGTGTATGGATTATTACCAATGGATAATTGTGTATGTATATATATTGATATATATTATATACATATATAAAAAGGAAAGTAATTTATTAATTACTTTTATGGTAACTTGGGTAGTAATTTTTATTCTGATGTATATGTTTTATATTTAAATAATAAAAATATACATAAATTTGAGATGTGTTATGTTTTAACTTACTTTATAATATTATGGTAACTTAAGTATTATTGGATAATCCATTAAAAAATAATGGAATGTGTATAATTTATTTATTTAATAAACATATACATAAATTATATACTTAACATATTTTACTTACCTTTTTAATATATATATAAAAGGGAAAGTAATTTATTAATTACTTATATGGTAACTTGAGTAGTAATATTTAATCTGATGTATATGTTTTATATTTAAATAATAAAAATATACATAGATTTGATACGTGTTATGTTTTAAGTTACTTTATAATATTATGGTAACTTAAGTATTGTTGGATAATCCATTAATAAATAATGGAATGTGTATAATTTATTTATTTAATAAATATATACATAAATTATATACGTAACATATTTTACTTACCTTTTTAATATTTTAATATATATATTTTTTAAGTTGACTTGGATTGGAAAAAGGGTTAGGGTTATTTTATTTAACCTATAAATATATACCTATAGGTTGTAAAAGGGGGTTAGAAATATTCACGTGATATATTCTAGAGAGAGAGAGAGTTAGAGAGTGAAGGAGGAAAAAAACCTTATAGAGAGAAGATCAAAGAAGAAGAAGTTTAACTTTCGATCCGAAAGTTTAAGGCAAGTTCTTATTCTATCTCTTTCCCTTTGATTCGTGTTTCTATACATGCCTAGGAAATTTTAGGATTTATTAAACACATAAAATTAAATAATTATGCATGTTTAATTGGATTAGAATATAGGTTTTATGAAATTGGTTCATATCTGTTCTTGTGTTATGAATTGATGAATGCATGATTTTAATTTGATTTCCGGTGTGAATTTTTATATATTTACATTATGTATTTTTCATATCTGTGAAATGATGGAACGTAGAAACATGCCTAGGATTCCTGAACATTAAATAGGAACATGCCTAGGATTCCTGAACATTAAATAGGAACTAGGTTTGGGTTTAAATAAATTTAAATAGACTCAATCATAATGGTGTTTGC